CCCTGTTTATTATAAGCCGCCCGGAGTCCTCTGGGAGTGGGCGGCATACAAGACTAATAAACATACATACATACAAACATAGTCCAACCCCCACCCACACCCACACCCAGGCAGGAGACCCATCACCAGTTCTGACAAATGGCAGTCCAGGCTCTTCTTGAAAGCCTCCAGGGATGATGCGCTCACAACTTCTGAAGGCAACTTCTGTTCCATTGGATATAGAATACCAGAGTTGAAAGGGACCTTGGAGGTCATCTAGTCCAACCCCCCAAACAGGAGACCCTACACCATTTCTGACAGATGGCAGTCCAGTCTCTTCTTGAAAACCTCCAGGGATGAAGCGCCCACAACTTCCGAAGGCAACTTCTGTTCCATGGGTTGATTGTTCTATCAGGAAATACTTTCTTATTTCCAGGTTGAATCTCTCCTTGGTCAGTTTCCATCCATTATTCCTTATCTGGCCTTCAGGTGCTTTGGAGAATAGCTTGACCACATCCTCTCTGTGGCAGCCCCTCAAATACTGGAGGAATGCTATCATGTCTCCCCTGATCCTTCTCTTCACTAGACTAGCCATGCCCAGTTCCTGTAACTGTTCTTCATATGTTTTACTCTCCAATCCGCTTTGGACTAGAAGAAGTCTTCTAGTCCAAACCCCTGCTCAAGCAGGAAACCCTACCCCGTTTCTGACAGATGAAGAAGGGAAGTTGGGAAGAGAGTGCATAAGGAAAGAGAAGGAAAGAGGGGAAAGAAGAAGAAAGGCGAAGGAAGAGGGAAGGAAAAAGAAGGAAAGGAAGGAACTAGGTTATAATGAGAGGGAGGCAGAATCTGAGAGAAGTCCTCCCTTAGCATTTGGCCACAACAGATGCCCCCAGCCCCCAGGTCAAACAGAACCCGATGCAGCCCTCAATGAAATCGCATTTGACACCCCTTCTTTAGAGTGATCTCTTCTCCTGGCTTTTTTTTTCCTCCTCAGGATCCAACCGTACGATCCCATCGATACCTCTGGCCGAGTCACGCTACCAGAGCGACCACCTTTCCATCTCGCGCACCTTGTGTGGGGCCCTGGTGTTCCCAACTATTGCCAGCCTTGTGGGCCGGGTCACATTTCGGAGAGTCAACTCCAACCTCCAGCGTACTATCCTGGTGAGTCAGGAGAGGAAGCTATGATGGGCAGCATTCAATGCTTGCCTTGCCTTCTAGGGAACTGGTCCCAGTTCAACACAACTGCATGCAATAAGGAATGTTTGTCTTTTCCTATTGAGCAATTCTCTCTCCCCTCCCTTCCTCTCCCTCTCCCTCTCTGTCTCTCATAAACACACATAAACACTGTTCTGGCCCATCTCCCCAAACACAACAAACCCTCCAACGTGAACTCAAAATATTCCTTTATTGGGAATGTGGGCAATCAGGACAAAAAAGTCTCGCTCACCGCAGGCTAATCGCAGGCTTGTCCGTCCGGAAGATGAATAGTTGTCTGCCACATCTATTCATCTCCCCCCTTGAAGGTTTGAAGGTTTGAAGGTTTATTGGGATTTATATGCCAATAATTAATATTGTCATGTTAATGTAGTGTAAAATTGGAGGTGGTAACCCTTTGAGGATGGGATACGGTGGCTCAGTGACTAAGACGCTGAGCTTGTCGATCACAAAGTCGGCAGTTCAGCAGTTCGAATCCCTAGCGCCGTATAACGGAGTGAGCTCCCATTACTTGTCCCAGCTTCTGCCAACCTAGCAGTTCAAAAGCATGTAAAAAATGCAAGTAGAAAAATAGGGACCACCTTTGGTGGGAAAGGAATGGTGTTCTGTGTGCCTTCGGCGTTGAGTCATGCCGGTCACATGACCATGGAGATGTCTTCGGACAGCGCTGGCTCTTCGGCTTTGAAACGGAGATGAGCACAGCCCCCTAGAGTCGGGAATGACTAGCACATATGTGCCAGGGGAACCTTTACCTTTAACCCTTTGAGAGCTGTATGCAATGAATTTTTTAATGTATGCCAGTTAGTTTACATTCAAAGTGGCAATAAAGTTTATTCTTTTCCCTTCTCTCTCGGTAGGGTGGCATTGCATTCGTGGCCATCAAGGGGGCATTGAAAGTTTATTTCCGCCAACAGCAGTACTTAATCCAAGCCAACCGGCGCATCCTTAACTTTGTGGAGAAAGAGGAGGTGGAAAAGGACTTGGCTCAGCCCGAGGAAGACAGCGGCAGCGAAGTGGGGCTCAGCTAGAAAGTACAGTCATGGCTTCTGCAGATCCCTTCATCCCCCTATTCCAGAATAACCGAATTCTCCTCTAAAAGAGATTGTAGCTCACCCAGTGTCCCTTTTGAAGCAAGTGCCTTTTGGGCAACCCAGATGTGGCTGCTTTGTGTTGTGGGGAGAGGTTGACCTGAGGTTGGGTGACCCAAATATCTGCAGTCTTCCCTTACCAGTAAACAATGCTCATTTCCAAGCAGGTTCCATTTGTGTGTGTATGTGTTCTGATCAGCTGCTTCTCACTCGCTCTGTGCCATCTTCTGTCTTCGCTCCAGTCTGAATCCCACCTAGAATCTGTCCCACGATCTCTGTTCATAAATCATAATTTCAATAAAGCAGTCATCAGCTGCTCCTTCCGTCTAGGCGGAATTCCTAGTACGGTTTTTCTTGTTGAAGAACGATGCTGGGTTATAACATGTTCATGTTTGGTAGGGGAAGGGGATGGGTCCGTGGGAGTAAAAATGGTGGCCATAATAACTACGCAAACAGAGGGTTGTTGTTGTTTTGCATGCATTGCGATGTGAAATGGGACTGTTAAATCCCATGCTCCTGTTGTGACCTAGGCTTCCTGCTTCAGAAAAAAGCACACGCTTAGTCCCCCAAACCCTTTTTTTATTTCAAAGGCTGTGAATTGTGTTCGTTCGCAGCCCGTAATGAGTCCAAATAGTTGGAAAGAGTCCTACAGTAGGCTGCCAAAGTCTTTCGGGATAAGGCTGATAAGCACCCACCTTTATTTTCCTTGGAACGCTGCCAAAGACACTTAATGGGCAATTAGCTTAGCAAGGCCACATGGAGCAGAGTCCGAACGGAGCTTCAGAAGGTAAACTGACCAGCATGAACCAAGTTGCTTCCTGCAAAGGCTCATGTGCTTTTGCTCCTCCTTTATGTCCTATGGGAGGGGCCAATCATCTTCAAGCCTTACTCTCGAGTCGTCCCTTCTGTCGTAACTGTTCTTGCCTTCTAGCAGTTCTGCGCATGTGCACACTGGGAATAGGGGGAACCTGTTCCTCTGCCTCGCTGCTGTCCAACTCTGGAGGCTCCGGAGGCAGCACATTACTCCTAGATGGCCGTGGCCCCCTCTCTTGAGAGACCGCCTGCTGCCAATTACCTCCCAAAGACCCATTAGATCACACAGATTAGGCCTCCTCCGGGTTCCGTCTACTAGCCAATGTCATGGCTACTACCCGGGGGAGGGCCTTCTCTGTGGTGGCTCTGGCCCTTTGGAACGAGCTCCCCACAGAGATTCGGACCCTCA